TTTTCTATTTTGAGAAACAGTTTTTCAGACGACAAAGAGAACGAGTTTTCAACAATTCACAAAACAGACACTCAAAACAGAAAACACAAAACGAATTCAAAACAGAAAACACAAAACAGAAACACAAAGAGAACACCACCTAATCTTTTCCATTCCAATTTCAAATCCTTCAAACCTTACCCACCTTCTCTTCTCTCTTCTTAAATATTTTGCAAATACGATTTCAATTGACGGTCGAGCGTCCACATCATCCACCATTGGTCGTCAACGATTTTGTCTCTCTTTCTCCAGCACCTTCTAATTCTCTTCTTCTATTGAATTTTGAGGTATTTCGTATTTGTCAATTGTCAAGATTTATCACTGATTCCATAGTACAATCAGTGAAAATAAACCACAACCCATATGAAGAAATCATTGAAAATAGCAGAGAAAATAATTAGGGAACCCATGCTATAAATTTTTGGCATACACCTTAAACGAAGCGGATAAATAATTTAATGATATTAATTATCCAAGTTTAAAAATGAGGCACAAGGTAAGAGGATTAGATTGATGTTATTTATTTTGTAGTGTGATTGGTCACGAAGAACCAGAATTATTCAATGCAAGAATAACTTAGCTAAAAAAGTTGATCAACAATTAATTATAATAATATATTTAATGGGACTCAAAACTTTTTATAAATTTTCAACCACATATTTTATCAACTTTTACCAAAATTTAATTTTTAGCAAAATCAAATTGGAGCATAATTTATTTTTTCTCCAATATGAAAACGAAAATTGTCTAGAGATGTCAAAAAAACTCGTTAAACACAATACCCGCAGGGCCCATTCCGAATCAATGTCATTGTCAGCGAACACTTCTATTACAAAATCATAAGTTTGATCTTGATTATGAATGACGATTGAACAAGGCGTGTGAATACAAATTGTTGAATGATAAAAAAAAAAATACTTCTGTTTGTTCGAAGGAACTATACCACATTAGCAAAATCGTTATTGAAAGAGGTGTAAATAATGCTAAACATTTTGAAAATAACATTACAATCAATAGTGAAGAATACGTAGCATGGTGAATAAAACGTGAAACTGTAACAGATTCAATTGGAAATTCATTAATTAATGACCGCCATGTGTCATAAAAAATAAAATGGCTAAATGACCATCGACTTCGTCAGATATCTATAAATAATCACGAATTTAAGCAAATGAGATAGAATGAAAACAAATTGAATTTGCACAATTTCTGTCCCAACTCGAATTTTCAGAAACTTTCATTGAGTTTAGGGAGAAAAAATCTTCGCTAGGTAAAATAAATTTGTCAATTTCAATTTTAGGGTTAACAATATTTGTAATGAAAGAATGTTTCATGAAAATCACTCTCATCATAATACCTTACCATAGGAGCATGTTTAACAAAGTTTGAATTATAATTTAAGCTAATCAAATATATTTTTTATCGACTCATTTCGTAAGACCTACAATTTATTACCTATTTAATATTTACACATTCCTTAAAATCCGCATGTTACAAATTATGAACAATTAAAAACATTGCCAAACAAGTGCTAAAAAGCAGATTACTCGTTAAAATTGCAGAGACACTTCGCCATCTTGCAAGAGAAAATATCTAATGGAAAAAGAAAAGGACGTCAATACCAAAAAAGCCAAATGCATAATTGTGCCCTCACATGACTTGCATGCTTTTCTCAAGGTGAAGTCAAAGTCTCTTGATTATTGCTTTAAAAAAAAAAAAAGAAAATATTTTGAATTTACGTGTAATATTATTTTATTGAAAAATATATAATCAATAAGAAAAGAGATAAAAATGGATTATAATTTTGATTGGGGCCGGGGATTAATCTTACTTCAATCACAAGAATATTGTTCTAGTTACAAAGAAATTTATGCCCCATTTTGATCTCCATTTTTGTCCCTATAATGCATTTTCACATCAAATCAAGTGGGATCACCTAAATGTGACCCCCTTTCATTTCATTTATCAATTCCCACCAATTTATATTTTTATCCTTTTGTCCTCATTTGTCGTTTGTTCACTTATGGTGACAGAAATTATAGACTTTGAAATGCCAAAGGGCAAATGTGAAAAATGAAAATTGCATAATCTAATATGTGGTACAACAGAATGCAATGAGTTGTCAAAACATAGTGGACCAACGGTCATATTTTTAATATTAATGCAAAAAAAAAAAAAAAGGCCCAAACAAGGGCATCAATGATCAATCTGGTCCACGAAGGAAAAATTGAGAAGCATTAAAATGAACACCGAAATGGAAGGAGTACTGACTTTTCAAAATTGATAAGAAATTTGCTAATCCATAACGACAATAGTAAATATTGAAATAATACAATTAATTACAGAAAAAATTATAGTATAATATACTTATTTTTTGTATATTTACAATAAGGAAATCTGTTGCATTGGTCCCTCATCTATGACTCTTAGAGCAACCTAGTCCAAACCTATTTTTCTTAGCAACATCATATCTAATTTGTTTTTCAGTTTTGTACTGTCATTAGTCTCTAGTTGACATATTTGTTCATTTTGTCATTAAATAATCAAATCCTTACTTGGAAAAATGGAAATTCCAATATTTATAATTATTCTTAAAAGGAATAAAAAAGAAGGGATGAAGGGGAAAAAAAAAGGATCGTATTTTGTTTAAAAACATGGTTACTAAAGTTAGCATTTGGTCCAATTACATTACAAATTATGCTTATTTTAATATTTTAGCGATATAGCTTCAGTGGATAACAAAACTGAGATTTTTTCCAACATGAAAATCTCAAGTTGAACTGAAATTAAAGACTAGTCAATTCTCCAACTCCAAAATATCAAAATGGTAAAGGCCATTAATACCATTAAATATTAGACTCCAGTCCAGTTGACTAAATTAAATTAGATAACGACTAATGTAGAAAAATGTAGGTGAAATGTCATGCGATGAAATAATACGAAGTAATTAAAGCATATATGAACGCTAAAATAGTATCAGTACCCTTAATTCGAGTTTCTCGTTATCAATCATCATAACATCGCGCGCATTAAATGACTATATTTTTCTAACCATAACTTTTACAAGCACATATGGTACAAACATCTCTAATCTAACATGTTCATGTCATTTGAGGCCTCTCGACTCCTCTTTTCTTCAAGATATTTCTTCGACTCCTGAAAGTTTCTCCTGATATGTCCCTTCATGTATGTGACAGTGGTAGCACTCCACATCCCTCGTGAAACGAGGCTGAGAATGATCCTTATCTCTCTAACCATAATTCCTTCACCGCGACTCACTTCTACCATGCTTTGTTCCAGACTTCAAGAGAACATGATTACCAGTCATAGTACCACTTGACTTTTTAATATTAGCTATCTCTAACAAAGCAGTCGAAATCTCATTTATTGTCAAAGTAAATTTTCCAAGTAACAATGTGTCACCAATGTCTCATATGACTTAGGCAAGATACAAAATAATCACCCTATGTTCGTACTCATTCTCAACATCCACTTCAAACAATTCAGGCACACAATTGTTAAACTTATTGAGATAATCTCAAACATCAATATCCTTCTCCACTCTCAATTTTAACATCCACATTGAACAATTCAATCACGCACTTGTTAAACTTATTGAGATAATCCCAAACGTAAATATACTTATCCACTCTCAATTTATATAATTGTTTTTAGATGCTTTTTGGGCTCCATTTTAATTTTAATACTTTTTTTTTCAACCACAAATTCTTCAATAAAATAATATTATACGTAAATCCAAAAATTTTCATTCCTTTTTGGCCTTTGTTTGGTAGCCATTTTTTTTTTCTAGAAAACGTTTTTTTGAATAGTGATTTTTTTGAGATGTATGGTTAAAAAGTAGGAAAATGTTTTGGATTTATATGTAAAATATTTTATTGTATGAATTTGTAGTTGAAAACGAATATGTAGAAAAAAGAATATTGAAAGAATGGAAGGTAAATAGGGGCTTAACCACACATTTTTCAGAAGACCACTATTCAAAAATATATTTTTCCAAAATTACATTTTATTGGAGCCCAAACAAAGGTATAACCTATTTATTAGATGTTTAGACATAAGACTTTTTAACTTTTTTCATAATTTAGAAAAAGATTTCTCACTAAAAACACTATACCTTACTTAGGATGCAACGCTTCTAAATTTCCAATATGCATCTTGTCACGCCTCGCAACCGAAGCTCCTAGTGTCACGTCAAGACCACATGGAGACATCTGACAACCAACAAAGTCCTAATTGGTCAGAATAAAGAAGTTGAGGAAAAGGTTGATCTTATTGTTTCGAAGCCTTCCTATGGCCAAAACACTATCTCCAACCGAAGCACTCTTTTAGGCTGAAGCACTTGCTGTCTTCGGGATCTGCATACAATATCTATGAATGATTGATGTAACGTTTATATTAATGAAAGTCGAGATTGTTAACTTAAGAAGTAGGGTGGCTAACATGTTGTCAATGTATTAAATGTATGGCAAACAGGGTGATGTGAGGCTTCGGCCAAGAAGATGAGGTCTCGTGGTTCTAATCCAATGGTACCACGTCGGCCAAAACTCTATAAATAAGCAACTCTTGTAATTCATTAAAATCCTACCTCAATAAACGCCACCATTCTCCTTCAGGATCTCAAGTCAAACTGTAACGGAATTGGTTTGTGAGGACGCGAGTGGGCCAGACATCTATTATCCACAT